ATAACGAGCGTTGGAGTATGGCATGCGGGAAAAAGTGCGTTCTGGGCAGAGTCCTGGGAAGCAGAAGGCCCAGAACAGAACAGAACAGAACAGAACATCTAATAAGCTAAAAGCGAGCGTCAAAGCAAATGGCAAGCAGCATGCCCGGTAATATTCCAATGGCTGCTCCCCAACTGGCCTAAGGCAGAAATTATTCAAGCGTTTCTTTAATAGAGAGTCGCCCCAGCGGAAAGCCCCCTCTTTGGCCCTTTTGCCCACAGCCACTTTCTCATTTTCGCTCTGCTTCTGCCTCTTTGTCTGACTTTTAGCTGCAAACTATTTAAAAAAGCAATTTTTTAGTTAATTAAACGACAAAGACAAGCTAAAGGCAAACAATTTCCCCTCGCACATTGCACCATTTGGCTCTGGCACTGCCTTGGGCTTTTCTGGGGCAGACAGAGGAGTGCCACTCCCACTGCAGCAGCACTCAAATACCCAGGGTTTAGTCCAGAGACAAGTTTTTTGGAGCAGCCAAAAATGGAAAGCAGAACTTTCACAAATGTCAGAGATCATCGTGCACAGACTTTGTAGATGTTCAAGCAGACATCCTGCTGCGATCCTTGGATGAGGCAACAAAGTCTTTGCACATTAAGAAAATCCTGGCCAAAGCAATCAATGTTAATGAATTTTAATGGCTTCCACACGGCAATCAAGAGGACTGCAAGTGCTTTATCTGCTCTGGCCACGACGACGCTAATGATGCGTAACAACAATTGAAACAACGGGGAAATGCAAAGTACCTTCGAGGTCCTGCACCGCTCATATCGCACACAAATTACTAACCAGCAGCAGTGGAGTTTAGGGTGTAGAGTGTTGAGTGTCGTAAGCGACCACTGAAAATGCGCAACTTTGTAAGCCATTTTTCCCATTTTCCCCCAAAACCATTTGTCGCATTTCGTTTAGCCATTTATTTATTTGCACTCATTTAAAGTGTGTAAACTGCATTGTTTTTGCCCGTTCTCACTGCCAGGAGTTGGGTTGTCCGGTTGCCCATCTTTGTTATTAAGAACAGCGTAATCATAGCTGGATGTGGGGTTTCCTTTTTTGGTGCAACTCCCCACCCGAACCGAGGTTCTGGCATGCTCTAATTAAGTGCATTTACTCTAATGAGCAAAAATGGCAGCAGGAGCAGCAGCAGTGCTAGTGAATGTTGCAGTGGCAACACAACAGCGAAAAAATAAAAACACAACAAAAAGAAAATACTGTCACAGTTCCGTGAACGACGCGAGCGTGCGTGAAAACTGCCCTTCAGCTGGGAGAGGAGCATCCTGGGCAAGTTTTGTGGTTTCTCGGGGAGCTCGACCTCGTTTAAGGGCTTTCCCCGAAAACCTTTTAAGCAAAGACACTCCTCTGGGGCCAGTCCTGAGGGGGTTCTGGGTGGTCGGTCTGCAGCCATTTGTCTATGCAAAATTTTGTGACGCTCATTAGTGCAATTTGCATGCATAACGGCAAATAGTAGTATGGCTGCAGCCAGATGAGGCCTCCGGGGCTGTCCATCCATCTGGCCACATCCAAGCACCCATCCATTCCATCCACAACAAATACGGAAATAGATACAGATACGGATATGAAGCCGGGAGGTGGGTGGGTTGTGCCATGCAATTGCTCCTTCCACATTCATCAAATTCAGAGACAGAGGCAAAGGCATTTATGTAGCTCTCCGTTCGTTGTCGAATTCAAATATGTAGACTAGAATTTTTGTATCCAACGATGCACATATTTCGTACTCGTATGATCCACAGACAGGGGCAGGGATGCGGAGGGGCCCCTGCCATTCTGATTCAGATTCGGATTCAGCGACACTAAGTAAACATCAGCGCAGCTGTGCCAAAGGATAACAGCTCTCGTCGGCTCGCAGGCTCACAGGCTCCACAGGCTCTGAAAATATGCAAATGTCCCTGCCTGTTCACATACTCGTGTGTCCCTCTCTCTCTCTCTCTCCCCACCTTCCCGCTGCTCTGTTCGATCTGCCATCACATCCAGATAAAACACAAAACATGCCGAATTAGTAGAAAGCAAAACAATCAAACGAAACAAAAAAATCCCTCCCCTACATTTTTGTACGACAAACCAAATTCATTTTCAATTAAGAATTTTTCAGCATATCGACACTCAGAATGTGTCCTGGTTCTGTCCTGTGCCTATCCCTATGTCGAGTGGATTGCCAATGGAAAAACATTTGAAATGCTAACTAAATTACGCAGTCTTCACATACATATGTATGTATATATCTGTCTATCGGCACAATGAAACGACGTACGATACATTTTCCTATATGTAGTTTTTGTGCGCCATTTTGCAGTGGCAGTGGCAGCGACGGCGGCTGCTGAAGTTGACACTCGCTCGGCGGGCATATGGCCGGGATGGGTGTCAGAATGTGGTCAAAATGCCAATTGCAAAACAATTGCATTTTGGTTACTTTGCTGTTGAATCCGGAATTTCGATGGCAGCCAACTAACAAACAGTGAGAGAACAGGGCTTCCGTTGACACCAACCATCCGCCCCACCGCCCCATCGCCCCATAGGATATGTGTACCAGTGTACATCCAAAGACAATTAAATTCTAGCTTTTTAGTTAAAAGGAAAATATTGTACGTACCGAACATGCCTTTTATTCCATATATCGCACTCGTTCTTCGCTCTCCTCCTCTCTACTCCCCCCTACAGTTTTTTGGGAAAGGGCGTGAAATTTGAAATTGTTAAACTCGATTTTCTTTTTGTGCAATGCGAGTTCCAAAAATGGTTAGACGACAAGCAGTTCTGTCATATTCACACATAGCCAGTGTGACAGACGGAACAAAAACCCAAAAAGCAATTAAATTGTACACTCTGCCATGGCAGCAGCAGCAGCATCAGGCAAAAGCTAAGCAACAAAAGACAGCAAAGGCATCAAGCAACAATATTATAACATTTTCCGACTGCAACGAACAAAAAAAAAAGTGCCAGCAACTACTATATGTATGTACAGATGTATGTATATTCATTCTCGAACACAGCCTGAGAGAGAGATGCAAATGCTGAATACTTTTATTTCTTTTTTTTTTTGTTTTGTATTTTTTGTTTTTGTCCCCACTTGGAATTGAATCCATGTGAGTGACAGCCTGACATGCAAATACGTTTAATTTCAAAAACTAAACTAATAAAAGCTTTGCTGACACTGAAATCCCTTTTTAGCAAACCAGCATAAAAATACTCGTACAAACAAATGGGCAATCGAAATGAATTTCCAGCAAAACTTGGCCAATAACTAATGCACACTAGCTTCTCTTTTAAATGCTTTACAAAATGGGAATCAAATTAGCATAACATTTTTTAATCGAATGTGGCCGAGATCCATGCTGCGTGTGAAAAACCCAACTCAACTCTTTACAAAGATTGCAGTGCAGTGGCAAAATACTCGATTGGTTTGGTAACTTTTGAGGGCACTTCAACGCCCAATTCAATGTTTTTTGCGGTGTGGAAACTGCTCAAACTTCAAGTCTTGTGGGATTTTCGCCATACGAATGATGGAGCATCATGGAGTGGAGTGTTGCGCCCGTTTAATCAAAAAGCAATTTTCAAGAGACTTCTGCGCACGCTGCGACAACGATGAGTGGGCAGAGGAGCTCCCCGCCACATATGGTAGCCATTAGAGTTGGTCATGAGCATGATGCAAACCCCAACACCACAAAAAAATACAAAGACAGCAAATGGTAAATAAATGAGAAAGCTATAGTCGGGCCATGCAATGGAGTTGATTTACTAAACAAAGTTCTCACCTTTGGCATTATTTTAAAAATTTTACTGCCTATTTTTCTGTGGCATGAACTCCACTAAGCTGGAAGACCTTAACAGACTTTGAGGGTTAGAACGTACTTTTTGGGTCTAGGTGTAATGTGAAGTGCAATTATCTGCTGCATATTAAGTTACTAGAATTTTGGAATTCACTTAAAAACTCACATTACATCGGAGGTCAGCCTCACACAGCTCCTCTTGAAATGTGGAAATCTCCCAACCCATTTTCAGTAGCTTTTGGCCACCGACACTGACGTAACGAATGCAGAATGCAAGGAAAATTACAACTCAATGATGCGCCAGATATTTCAATGCAAAATGACGATAAATATTTCGTTGAAGCTGGGCAGCAATTTTACCCTACAAGCGAGTAATACAAGGCGAAACATTTATGTACGTGATCCGGCCAGGAAGGGAACAATACACTCGGGTCCTATGAAAACCCACACACACACAGGGACGTAGATATGTAGATGCCCAGAGTCATGACCATGCATAGACTCGGGACGGGGTATGTGTCTTTGCCAATCTGGCTGTTAAAATCGGCAGCGCAACAAAAGGAATCGCACACTTCAACGTTTTGAATTTGTAAAAGGATATTTTTCACATTATAATAAGAAATGAGGCTGAAGACGCGCCTCGCATGCTGTGTGGCTGTGGGTGCTGGGGAAAACCCAACCCAATGCCAAGCCCTCTTTGCATCTCTCTCTCCCTGACCCTACACTTTAAAATGCAGAACAGCTGAAAAATCATATAAACACAAATAATAAAATCGACAATTTGGCAAGAGACGCACGCACACACTCCCAGACACAACCAAACGCGCTAGATGAGTGTATCCATGTGTGGCTTTGTGTATGGGATGCGTATGTGTGTGTGTTGCAATGAGCACATAACCGAAAATGTACTGGCAACAAAACGTGCTGCGATTTCTAAAAAAGAGCCATGAAAATGCTCCAAGGATACAGACACACACAGGCAAAGCTCTGATGGAAAAATTCTCGTGTAATAGGCCTCAACCTCTTTGACCAGCTAAGTTTCTTATAAGGGGGGTATACGACCCTTTCTAACCCTAATGCAAACCATATAAAGTGCAATTCGTTACCAGCCAAAGAAACGAATCAATTAAGAAACATGCAACTAAATAATGAAAAGCCTATCCACCTGAATCGACAGTTTTTCCTTGTCAAGCAGCTAAAAATGTTGCCACTATTTTGGGTGACTCTACTAGTCTTCGCCAGAGCTACGGCGGATAATAAAACATTGTCGATACAGCCCAGGATATTCAACGGTCAAGAAACGAGCAGCGGTACCCTTGGCGGCATTGGTGTCCAGATATTCTATCTGAAGAAGCTCGTCTGCTCTGGCACGATCCTCTCGACGCGACACATTCTGACGGCTGCCCACTGCTTTGACGTTGGTAACCTGCAGTGGTTCCACGTGGTGGCGGGCAATACGAAAGAGTACGAAGGCCACACGAAGACCTCAACGAAGAACGTGCTCATAAAGATCAAGATTCATCCCGACTATAATAAAGAGAAGTTCATAGGTGACATAGCCGTGGCCAAGACCCTCTTGGTGTTGAAGAGCAATCGCGTTGGCTATGCCACCATCTGTCACTCCCAGCTGTTTCACAAGGAATTTGTCACCGTAGCCGGCTGGGGCATTGATGGCAGAACCGGACTCGGAGTTCGCAATAGACTGCACACCATGCGAGTGCCAATCGTGGATAGGATGCCCTGCGAGAAAGCCATTGGCCGCACCATTCCGAAAAATGTGATCTGCGCCGGCGGCTACGAGCATCGCACCCTCTGCAAGGGTGACTCTGGCGGACCCCTGTTGCTTATGAACGAGGTGTGCGGCGTCGGCACCTGGACATATGAATGCGGGGAATCCTCAAAGCCCGACGTATTCATGAGTGTCAAGTTCTATGCAAAGTTTATCAAAAACACAATGAAAAGTTTGGGCTACTAAAGGAATATCAGCTAAGCTGTACCCCAAATAAAAACTATTATTTCTATATTTTGTGTCTTCTTTCAGTCAGGACAGGTAGACCCAAGCGATCGATCCCATGAGCAATAAAATACAACCGTAATAAATCCATGGAGTTTCCCGTTTTAAATCAGCTTAAGCTTTGTAATAAACATTCCCGCATAGAATCTATTTTCCGAGAATTTCCAGAACCTTATTAAATGTAAAGTAGACACGCCAAGTTAGTTCTACATGCGCATGTATCATGTAAAATTGGCCGCTCTTTGCACCTACCTATCGTTCACGTGTCATCACCCCATTGCTTTGCTCCCGCTCTTTCTCTCTCTGTCTCTCTATCCAACCAAGCGTGAATGGAGAGGGCAAATTGCAGCATTGGCGCCTGCAACGGCACCACACACCGGCAAATCTCAGCAGAAAATAGTGGAAAGCCAGCAACAACACAAAAACACGCAAGCAATAAAGATATCTCAGCAACGGCGGGCAAAGCAAGGCAACAATTCTGCCGCCGCTGTCGCCAAGTTGCATCTTTTGTCTCTTTTTTGCCCACGCTTCTTAACGCGGCTCATCAGGTAGCCGACAACATTGCCAACTACTTATTTTTTGAATGCTTTCTCTCTCTGTAGCCGGCAACAAGTATCTGCTGCCCCGACTCAAGGTGAATCGATTTAAGGTGAGGACTCACTCCCGCTCTATCGATTTGTCAATGGTTTGCCACACCTTCTTTTCGAAATAAGCAAATATTGTGAGAGCCTTCTCTGGGATTGAGTCACCCAATTTTAATACACTGTGGGTCGGCCTCTGCAGTCGACAACATTGCCAACCTACTTTTTTCTTGAACATTCTGCCGCTGTTGCCGGCATCACGTCATTTCTGTATGCTTCGCCCCAAGGTGTACCAAAATGAGGTGAGGAATTCCCAAACCACCGAGATTCCCAGTTTATTTCCCACCCTCTCTTCAATGGTGAGTGCATTGTGTTTCTGCACGATCACTCAAACATGTGAAAGTATCACGTGGGAACGGCCTTACCTTATGTCAATACACTGTGGCCATCTTCAGCCGGCAGCATTGCCAACTATTTGTTGTATGCCACAGCGCGCTCTCTCTCTCAGCCTCGCTCTTTCTACCTAGCGCTGCTACTGTACTCCCTCCCTGTGCTGTGGGTCGCTCTCTGGTCTCTCTACTGCCCGCCCGTTCATTCCGTTTGATTTCTCAAAGTGAACGCGCGCAACGATCGCAAGCAGATCCCGTTTTCGAATTCCGAACCCAAACAAGCGCTGCTTCACTGCATCCCGAAATCTGGCATAAATTTGGTCTTCCGCGTGTGCGTATTTGTGTTTCTGTGTATCTGCAAGAGAGTAATTGATAGTGTGCCTTCAATTCAATCGATACAAACCAACTTTTAGTGTGAGTCAGAGAAACAAACAGTCTTCGATATGAGGGAAATCGTTCATCTGCAGGCGGGCCAGTGCGGCAATCAGATCGGTTCAAAGGTGCGTATAATTAATATTCAATTAGGGACGGCACAAGTCATTTCACACACCTTTCCTTGACTTTTCGCTACGTTTCTAACCTCACATGTTTAATTATAAAACACAACCCAAAGAGAGAAAGCAGCAAAACGTTCTTGCGCGCGCTCTCTGATTTTGTCGCTCATTCCTTGCCCCTCTCCCCACCCCGCGCATCAACGACCGTCTCTCGCTCTCTCTCTGTGTGTGCGCCCTGTCTCTCAGATTTGCTCTGCGTTGTGTTTGCAGCTGGGTGGCAATTGAAATTGGGGGCGGGGAGCGAAAGAGAGAGAGAGAGGTTTGGTTTATTCCGTTAGTTTGAGGAAACTATAGAGCTGCAAAAAAGCATAAAATAAACGAAATGGAACCGCAGCTAGTGCCAGCACTAGGGTTTATCTTATCTGTGGAGATATATGCACACATACAGGCACGACTTATCAGCATTACGCACAAAATTCACATTTTCGCAGCCTGGGAACAAAATGCTGTCCATATAAGACCATAAAATCCCCATTCAAATCCAAGGCAAACGTCTAGTACGACCTCTGTCAGGTGTAAACAATTAGCAAAGCGGTTTGGACGATGATGATGATGATGATCTCAACGTCCCAAGTTGGAACAAACCATAAGTAGATCAAGCTCAAGTGTAATCTAATCGGGGGAACAAGTTTATTTAAATGCAATACGTGTGCTTACTGTCTTCAAATAAATGTTCTGGAATGTATTCCGAAACTTCCACGAAGGTCTGTCTGCCTCTTTGATGCTTCCCCGTCATTAACAGGTTTATGTGTGTGTGTGCTGGTGCCACAACTCGTTTTGGGATAGTTTTTCACGGCATTTCTTGTGCCCAATTCCCGAGCTCATTCTCATTGTAGTACTCGCTACCCCCCTCCACAGTTGACTGAATTTACAACAATCAAGACTCATTTACGGGGAAGCAGCTGCCTCTTTATAAACGAGAGCTGGAAAACTATTCCCTCACGATTTGTATCATTTGGGAACACTGAACTGCTGGAAAAGGTAGCCAATTGCACCTGGCACATGTAATTAGGACGGCCAGCCGGCAGAAGCGGGTCTTTTATGAAGTGTCTGTATCTTGTAGCTGATGTATGTAGCTGACACAGTGACTCACACTTAGGCCAACCTGTGCGTGTCATATCGCCCAGTTGCTCCCCTCTAATCTATTAACTTGTTTACAAAACTTTAAACATAACTAGATGTCAATGTGGGCCCGATAAGAAGCAGAGCCCAAAAATAGCAATTACATATTGTTCTCAGCTATTTCTTGCGACACCCGGGGACTTATGCAGACTCAGATATGGAACATTGAAAGCCCAGCCCAGTACAGTGTCCCCGGAGTTCAGTTGTGTTCCATTGCGTGCATGTTAACAGGCAATTAAAAATGTCCAAATGGAAAGAGTCTTGTAAATCCAAAAACAAAACCGGAGTGACTGCCCATTCTAAGCTAATTTAGCGCATTCACATTCACTCGCTCAATTTGCGGCGCCATTAAAATCCAACAACATAATCATCAAGCAGCAACAAGAAGGAAAGACTAGCCGAAGCATTAGATACTCTGGCAGCATGTAACGCACTTTCCATTTGCTTCCATTGGAATTTCACGTTTACATGTGACTTTCATAGACAGTTGATTGACTGTTTTCAATAGTTCCTATCGAATGGTCTCTGTGGCCCCACTTTCAAACTGAAATTACTACTGCCGTCTATGCCTTGTACAAACGTTCGCTCAAAACCATAATACCCTCCTTCCTCAAGGGTGTACAGAAATAAAAAGAGCAACAACAACCTCTACGCGGGGCAGTCGTTGACGTTTGACACAGTTATTTTATTTTTTGTTCCTGTGTCTTTTCTCTGCATTTCCCAGAGAGCAGTTTTCTCCGCCCGTTTGCATATTTCGTTACGTTTCTCTCTTTTTGTTTGTTTTTCTTTTTTACACGCTTTTCCACTTAAATTTATATGTGCAATGTGCAAAAACATACCACACCACGCGCATATTTTAAAGCACTTTTTTGCGTGATTTGTTGGGTTAATTAGGACCCACTTTACAGTGATACAAAAGCTTTTTTGGGACAAAATCCATTGAATTTTATGCACCCCATTACGCCCCCAAAAAAATGCCATCATACTTTGCGACCTTTGTGGCGAGGCATTGTTGATCTAAAAAATATATGCAATTATTTATGAATATTTATGCAATTTTCCGCATATCGAAACTTTATAGATTGGAGGCATTATATTTTACAATAATAATATGGAACATATTGTGTGCAGTATTCTGTGGCCATCCATCCCCTATTCATGTGGGTTTTTTATACACACACACTCACATCGCTGGCGATATCCCGATTGCCCGAGCTTTAATTGAATGTCCTTTTGCTGATTAATTGGCTGTCAGTGTGAATTATTGCTGCAGCCTCAGAATAAACAAATAATAAATTTATGCAAAACTGCCTACGTGGCGCGCATTGAATAGTGAATTTATGCACAACAGCGTAAATGGCCAAAGCGCTTTTTATTTTAATTTTGATAAAAAAAAGTTTTTGCAAAACTAATTGCTCTGCCGATAAACGACAATGAGCAAACAAACGCACACATTCCACAAAGGAAAAAAAAGAAATTTCAGATTGATTAAACATTATAGATGAATAAAGGAAATCTTCAATTATGGCAACATTAGAGCATTGCCTTACAAGGAATATATGGGAGAATAATATTGCTCAAAGGAAGGCGGCAGAAATTAATTGTATTTGTCTGCTGTGTAAAATCAATTCTATAGAAAATCAACGCAGTGACATCTCAAAATTGGCCATGATATTTCCAAGAAGGTTTTCAATTGTATAGAATACTTCAGTCAAAACATCTCCCTCAACATTTTTCTATCCAATATATATAGACACAGACAATGGGTTTTACATTTTATTAGAATGCCTTTAAGACATCTTCCGGTGTGCATCAGGGGCCACTGAAAATTGATCACATATGTATGTGGCATATCCATAGCGAAGGCATTTTGGCCAAAGATGTTTGGCAGCTTTCTTTTTGGAGCCCTGCAGGCAGATGCGCTCTTGTTCTTCTTCTTTCATTATTTACATAAACCTAATTTTCCCTAAATCATTTTGCGAACAATAACAGGGGAAAATCTATTTACGAGGCATGGGCACATGCCATCTAAAGATGGAGAAAATGTCAGGCGGGAGGGAAAGTGCGGATGAAATTTATAGACGGAGCCAAGAACAGAAGAGCAGAAAGTAAAAAGAACCCCCAGAGCAGGAGACAATAAAATTAAAGAGTGGAATAAGCCAGGCCAAAGGGAACGTGAAACGGAACCTCAACGTGGCCTCAACGACATGCAAATTCCTTCTCACTCCGCTGCATCGTTTACGTATGTACACGAATGTGTTTGTGCATCTGTGTGAGGTTGAATGTTGGACGTAGTAGAAGCCTGCCTCAGGATACATTTGTTTAGCTTATAATGGAAGGGCATGGGCATGGGGCATGGCATCATCGAGCAGCACCAAAATAATGCACAAAATTGAATTATCGAAAGCGTTGGCGTTGGCGTTGGCTGCCAGGCTGACTGGCTGGCTGGCTCTGGCAACTATCGTAGCTATAATTTCTTTATGGTTACCCGATATGATGGGGGTTGGCCATGGGAGAGGGAATGCTCCTTTGGGGCACGTCATAGGTAATGCGCCCGGTCGTATGCAAATGCAATTTTCATGCGGCTTTCGATATGCGGCTATTGGATGTGAGTGAGGGAGCGTGGGGCATTGTAAAAACAAGCAGCTGATAACTTAGTTGGCATCTTTCCGTGCGAGATGCACTCCATTCATCCAGCCATCTATCCATTTGGTGAGTGTAATTGCAACCTAGATGCTTGTGGTTATGCCCCTTCCCATTGCACCCAATTAGATTCCCATTCTTGCTGCCACACAGACACACGCATACAGCAGGGAAATGCACATTGAGGCCAAGCTATACTCATGCAGCATATGCAGATCGCGTGCCCCGCAGAGAACGTCTTAGTCCACGGCTCCACGGAGTTTGCCGTTGATTAGCAATTGGCCAAAAAAAACAGGGAACAAGAAAGGGAACACTTGCCACATAACAGACGAGTATCGGCTTACTCCAAAGCAAGGGCATGGTCAGTGGCGTGCAGCACAGTCGCAGGTACAACAACAACAAATATACTTGAAAAAGGTAGAAATAAAGGTATTAACCTTTTTTATGTTGTTGTTCTTTTAGCGAAATATTTTTTAATTTACATAAAAATGCGTTTATGCATACCAAATGATGTTCCACAAACACACCCACACACACAGACACAGTTATACAGCTGGTAGAGTACGGTAGGGGCGAGTGTCACCTGTGAATAATACACTCATAATACAAACAGCTCTACCTTTTAGTGGATATACCTTGCTTGCGCCTAGATGTATGCTGACCGCGGAGCCGCGGTCGCAGAATGGATCCCTGGGAGGAGAATAACCAACCGGTCTTCGCTTCGTTGCACAAACTGATTATGAATAAACAAAAGATAATTTTTTATAAATAATTCCAACACACACAAACAATCCCTGTCACAGCCATAGCTGGTGCTGCTGTAGCGTTTGTTGTTGTTGTTTCTGTGCCATGATGGAATATACAATTACTTATTTACGTATGTATTTATTTTTTGTTTCGTTACGATTTTGCTTTGAGCATCATGCTAAATCGTTAAACAAAAAGAAGGAAACAAAATCAAATGAGAAAAAGAAAATGAAAAACCATTTTTGCATAAATATGAACTAGAAATAAATGGAAAAAGAACAGAAAACTACTTGAGGTAGTATCACAGCATGTAGCATGTGTAGGATGTAACATGTGCAGCATGTGTGCCGGCTGCACTTGTGGCTGGCACACATAAGCCGCTTCGGGTCGGTCCGACAGGTTGACCAGTCTCCCGGCAAATGGCAATTTGTTAT